CCCAAAACCCCAAAACCCCAAAACCCCAAAACCCCATGATACGATATATCCACTATTAATGTAATAATAAGTAATATTATAAAATAATTGATAAAATGATAGTAGGCGAAGTAATAATCGATTCAAGAGGCGAGTTGACCTCTACCCTGCCCCTTGAAAATGAAGATTTGACATAGGTTAGCTAGATCATCAGTAACATTCTCCAAGACATCAACACCTATATGAAACTTAACAACAACTCAACTGGAGACTTAAAGAAGACCACATTGAGGATTGGAAATTCACATGAAATAAGTATAGCAGTGGGAAGTGATGCCATCAAGGCTGTGGTAAGGGAAGTAAACTCTGGAGGTCAAGGAATGTGATCGGAAGCAAAGCTATGATAAGAACGAGTAAAGTCTTGGAAATATATCCTATGTATATGTGCATTCAAAACTATGAGAGTAGTTTGAAAACTATCAGAAATATTAATTCCTATAATCACTTTAGAATTCATAATGTTTTTTTCTAACTCTTAATTTTCATTATAGCTTTAAGTTCTTCTTAGTATCTTATTAATTTTCAGATGATCTTTATCTACAAACATTAACACTCTACTATTTTTACATGAGCTTAAATAAATAGTTAAATTATAAACTTAAAGCTATAATAATTTATTATAACCTTTAACATGACAGAAGAATTTTGGGCACAATATAAAAAGAAGAAGGACTTGACTTAGACTAATATAATATGGAAGAATGTATACCTTACAGTCTTATTTATGAAAATACTATAGATTGCTGACGGCATTAGATAAGATTAGATTAGAGAAAAGCATCCAGATGAGTTGTACGCAATCTGTAGGACAGACAATAACTATTGGAGACATTATCGAGCCTCGCCTAAATTGACGATTGATGAGCTGTCTATGATGATTTGTCGAGAGGTTGGCTGTGATCTTGCTTATTGCTAAAATTTAATGTGGAAACCAAAAACGCCCAATTAAAAGTAAGTAGTTGCAACTGTTCTTCAAAAAGACATTACTAATGATTATCAAAGAGAGATTATTGGCATTTCATGAAAATTGAATGTCAATATAAAGTCTCATTATATCAGAAGATTAACTCAGAAAATTAATTAACAATATATAGCATCGGAGATTGCATGGATTAGTATCATAATTTCAGAGATTGTATAATTAGAGAAAAGAAGATGTTTAGAAGTATAGTAGGAAACATAGACACAAAGGCCAACCCAATGGCGATTCCAGATTATCTAGAAAAACATTTCAAAGAAAAGGAAGCCTTGAAGAGGCAGAGATAAATGATGGGAGGTGATGAAGAGGAACTCAAAGCTAGAATAAGGAAAATGGATGAGGAAAGCTCAATGCTCAAAGCTAAGTTAATAGATACCACTGAATTCAAGAATAAAAAAGAGAAAATAGTAATGGGAGAAAAAGAGGAAAAATACATGTGACAATAAATATTCAAATATATTTAATTTGTTAATACCTTCGCTACTCTCTAAATATTCTCTGACGGGGTTTTGGGGTTTTGGGGTTTTGGGG